ATAATCCACACGACCGAAGGTGAAGTCTAAATTGCTATATGTACAAATATCGATGGACTCGTAAAGGGCGATGAAAACGCGTGTACATGGCGAAAGAAAGAAGCACGCGCGCAAACGATTTGCGGGCTTTTGAAGATCCTGACTGACTCTTTTCATAGCCGCCTCGTAGAGCGCGCGAGGCAAGCTCTTTAATACCGTGCACACGCTTGTGCCGTGCGCGTTCTTTCCGTCAGGCTGACTACGCTGAATGGAATCGTCTCAAAAGATTGCGGCTATCCACTCTGTCGTAAAATTTTATTAAAAAACCCCCTGACTGATCGATACAATGAGTTCGGCGCGGATAACAATTTGTATTATACGATATTGTACACGCGATAGGAGACTTCAAACTCCGAGAGCGCGCGAATATTCTCTTATTATACATATGATGCAGCTGCATCTCGCTCGAATGAAATTCTTATTACACGGATAAAGGCAAATTTTTTTCCAATCGCGGAGCGTAATGGAAGAAATCTCGAAGAATCACGTCGCGGCAACTTTTTTCCCGGGCTGGCTGGTGCGCACCTGCACATTGAAAAGGACTGCGCGTGACGCGCAAGCCGAGTCATCCCTCATCTTGGGTGCGCTCGCGAGCGAGGACTAATCTCTTCGTACTCTTGGCATGACTCTTTGACGTTTGTTTTTTAGTTTATATAACAAGAGCTGGATCGCGCGCCAGAAAGCCGTGATGATAGTTTTTCACTTTTCTTGTACGTATGCGCCCCAGCAGGGCACGTGTGCAGTGCACATACATGATTATATCTGCGCACGTACGTATCAGCTAGCGCTTATATAGCCAACTTATTTTTCCTCGCTGCTCGCTATATAGACACAGAGAGCGAACTTCTCTACTTTTTCCTTGGATTGTTGTAAATTTACGACTAGTGATTTCCTTTTCTCTACTACATGTACCCCACAATTCACGATCCCCGACAAGGCTCATTTTTCCTCGGGTAAATCCATATTGGCACTTTTATGCGTCAGCCGTGCGAAATTCTTTACGACTTGGCATTAGACACAAAGCTGCTGGTGTGTGCCGCTGTCGCTGCGCTACTTGACTATACATCGTAATAGAAAGCTGCTGCTGCTGCTGCTGCTTCGCTACCTCTAACTACCCGGCCGAGTGAATTATGTCTTTTAAATGCACTCCGATGAAAGAAATAAAAGGGTTCGTTCGAACTACGCGTATACACGCACCGTCAATTAGACGACTGTTAATTGCGAATCGATGGATTTCAACGCGAAATAAGCTTTCGGACATTTAAGCCACATTTCGAGTGGTTCCCACGTTCTTATATACTGAATGCGTGCGGCACTTGTTACGATACACTGCTCGGTCAAGAGCAATTGCTTATCGCTCACGATTAGACATCAGGCTGCGGCTGTATATTACAGCGTGGTTTTGCTCGTCTCCGTTCAAGCGTGACATTAAACATTTCTCGCCGGAAGCAAATTTTTGACTCACGTTTTTCTTTCCTACGTATATGCGCGCTCCTTCTCGTGCAGTCGGGCCATTTTATTGTGATTCAATGATGCTATTTCAGATGTCCCATAGAGTGATGGGACACCTTTGGACGAGGTCGTAGCTTATGGATCGTTTTTGCGGAAAACAAATTGTTTCGCGGTCTAAGACAAAGGTCGATTTTCCATGTCCTCTCGTTCATGAATAATGTCGAGCCATTTGAATGAAAATAAACCTGACAGATGTTTCGGTATGTATTAAACGCAATGACAAGAGCTCTAACTAGCTGCCAGAAATACATTGAAACGTTGATATATATAAAAACATTAATTGCGCGCACGTTTTATACATCGAAGTTGAATCGGGGCTTGAATTGACGTATTGATTAATCGATTCACGCGTCAAAAATCTTGCTGAAAATATTTCATCGAACGCAAATAAATCTTGCTTAAAACTCAATGTGCACAAATAGAACTTTGACTCGGACAATTTAGCGTTGATTATTTCAACGTATATATATCGGTATGAAAAAAAATAGTCAGTATCGACAGTGTCACTAACAATTGTCCCTACTCCCATTTATAATTCATACATAACGTATTGATCAAAAATGCCATATTCTCGCGCAGCAACTGGGCCAGGGCACGTCCACTTGTATATTTTTTTTCAAATTCGTCTGTGTAGGGATGTCCGAGCTATATATTGGCCATCAAAATTAACGACCTTCGCACCAATGAATTCGTGCAAACGTTAAATATCTTCCGAACGCTCGAAACGATTCATCATGCTATAACCAAGCCAAGCTCTCAACTCCTTTGTGAGAGTATAACAAACTAGTCCGAGCCGCTGAATAGCCAATGTCTATAGGCATCTCTTGGTAAATTTATTATAAGTCAAAAAACAGCACGAGTCTATTAAATAGCAATTTCTCTGGCTCGCGTTACGGTGCGATGCAAAATTCATGGGCAGCAAGCGAGAGAATGAAAAGAAACGAAAGCGAGCAAAAACCAATCATCGAAAAAGTCGTAATATTTATGTACTGCCGCGCGCGAGTATAAAGTCATGGTGTGCGGAGATCATTTACATGCACACATACAAGCCACCAGCACATTACGGCGAAAGACCGCAAATGCGAGGCCGTTAGCATATCTGCATCCATAGCTGCGGCGGCGACGACGGCAGCAGCAGCGGGCGCGCTCATGAATACATTATCCTTTCTAACGAGGCGAATAGGTCAAGTAGATGGAGAGTCGTTCGGTGTGTCCATATAAATCACTCAAAGCCTCGAGTACAGCCGCAGCCGCAACAGCGGCTACAAGGGATCAGCTTCGGTAACCTCCTCCCACACACTCACACGTACGTATTTATGCATGAGCTCGGTCATTTTTCTCGCTTGTGGTCACATCTGTTTCCGCTTTTATTTGCTGCGTCTTTCTCTCTCTCTCTCTCTCTCTCTCTCTCCCTCTCTTTCGCCTCGCACTGCCCTTTGACCTTGTTAATGTGCGCGCGCGATCTCTCGGAAAGAGAAATGTGTCTTGTTTAGCTTTGCGCGACTGCAGAATTCAAAGCCGCGACGCGCGAGGTCATTTAGCGAAAGTGATATGCGACGAAGACGCGTGCATTTATATACAGCACGTAAACGTATTGTGTTTCCGTGTGCTCAAAAACTATTCGGGGTTACACCGTTCGTATTTCTTCGAGTTTTGAGCAACGCAGAGACGAGTGTTTTTGAAGGGCTATATAATGTGCATTTGTTAAGCCAAAGTCGTACAAGATGACAATGCTCGTCTCAAATGTAACGATTAGCAATGAAACTTTCGTTATTTTTGTCTCATACATTTAGATTATTTTCCAGGAATCAGCAAGCTGTTTTGATCGTAAACTTTCGTAATTTATTGAAACTAATTACTTACAGAACATAAATTACTCGAAAGTGAAATGATATGTGGGATAAATATTATATTTAATGTTTACCTTACATCATGTGGGCTATCATCGATTTATTATAACGATCGAATCATGCGGGTATTTTTATTTTTTTATTCAAAAATAACACAAAAGACGAATGACGTTATTGATACTTGAGTAAATTGCCTGGGTCAAGCGATGAAACGCTTGATTTATAGAAATTGAATTACTTGTTTTTTTTATCAGTTTCTGATTTTTAATGGAAATACTGAACTTTTTAAACAAGTTATAATAAATTACTGTTGCTTGTTAAATACGGATCATTACGTCGATAAGTCACAGCTACAATAATGTTGAAGGTAGAAGGGTCGTTAAAAGAAGTTGGCATGTTTTAATGTGAAACAATTTGATGTATTTCAAGATTTTATTCCATCGATCTTAATTATTTGACAATTAAAATTAACAATGTACATCGCATTACAAAATGAAACAATATAGCCAATGATAATTATTGGCTTTCTTTCGAAACAAAACTAATTACATTATAAACTATTTTATTCGTAACGATGAGCGCGCACAATACTTTCGACGATCTATTCAACTTTTCACTCGATAACCTTGAGAAGTTTTACAATTTTCGCGCTGCGTCTCTTGCGGAATGTACTATTAACATTGAGAATCCAATTATTGATGGTAAACACGAGACTCGTGTTGACAGCACATGCAAAGTATCGAATGAAGGCTCAAGTAATACAAGTTACCATTAAAATAGTCGTGCGAAAATAATGTCTGATTAAATTGATGACAGATGACAATGACATAAAGAGTACAAATGACATGAATACTATTCAGTCGAATTTAATTACATAATTTTTATCCTTTCCTGTAACGTCGTTAATCATGATAATATTGAAACTTATCCTCAGGTATACTACTGAGCTTATGAACTCATTGATAATGGGTGAATTATATTACAAATTTTTTTTCTTCGCATCTTTATGATTTTCTCTCGCATAAGGTTACAATTATTTTTGTTTCGCTTTTAAACTTAATCTTATAACAGGGTATACCGACCGTGTGTACACGTAACGATAATATCCATCGAATATATTATATATTATATAAAGAACTTTGGTTACGCAAAAATAGACGACAAAATTGTTTATATTTTCATAGTATTTATATATATATATTTATATATTTATAATTCATTTTTTTTATCGTTAGCACTTTTGTCCCGCAGTAAATTTTTTATTCACCCGCAGATATCTTTCAATTAATTTTAGTTGTTTCATTCCCTCTCATACGTCAGACTCATCTTTCACGCTTAAGCTTTCATATAATTATATCATACACGACTTATCTATAAACAAATATACAATATTTTTCCAAGAGTATTGGTGAAATTTCATCAATCACCGGGAGTAAAAATTAAAATGGCGTTGTGAACATCTGTCTGGGTCAGTGGCACTGATGGAAAGTTGACGAAGCAAACGCTAACTTCTTCATCGGGTTTCACAAATAAGCTTAGGTTATGTGTTACCTTGAATTAAAAACTTGTACAAGCAAACAAATTTTTAAAAGCTTTTCATATTAAATTTGCTCAGCCAAGATGAGAATTAGCGTTTGCTTTGATAGTACGCTGTTGTTAGCGATTCACACGTAGACGAGGCTGGGATGCACACAAACTAATTTCTACAGCTTTGAGGAACGTTAGCGGCTCTGTGGCATATTAAACGCTTAATTTACAATTAATTCAAAATAAGTATTTTATTAAGCGACCACGATTACTTTCAGATTTATTATAGAATAAAAATAATTCGTCGATAAATTAAATAATTTTTTTCTATAAAAGCAACCAATTATTAACGTTCAATGGTCAATTATTTTATAAATAATTATAAACATTCAGATTAACAAAATGGTCAGTCTAATAAGATGTAATCTTAAAACAGGTTTTGGATTATCCAAGCATTTTTAACATTGAATTAATTAGTTAAGTGTACACCTATTTCTTAAATAACGAAAAACAAAATTCGACATTGTTTTACAAAGGATGAGACTACGAATACGTTATAGAACATACATGAATTTTCAATGCAAACAGCATTGATTCATTTTTACGAATGACCTCGGTATCACGTTTTGTTTTCTCATTATCATCGTCAAGTCATCGCGTTTTCTACGAAATTAGTATGGTTAAAGTCGAAAATCAAGAATCACAGTCAAAGAACCGTCATCGCGAAATGCGGTCAAATGGGTTCTTTTACGCGCAGACATACTTGGCCTGCGCGTGTTGATGCACAAGCTTCCAACGACCATATACTAAATGGTATTCTTGGACGCAGGTGCATCGTCGCCGCCGCCGCTGCCGTTGACAATCTAAGGATGCATGCCTGAAGCGGCGCCCAATCTCGTGCCGGCGTACAGAGAAGCGTAGGGTGAGAAATAAGGTGGTAAACCGGCCGCCGTCGGCAATCCGTGAGGCGGTGGGAGAGGCAGGCCAAGTGCCGATATTCCTGGGTGTCCATAGGGCGGTTTGCCGTAAGGATGATATCTAGCCGCGGTCAGTGGGCTCAGCGGTGGCGTTGGATACGTTCTGGACAAAAGGGGATGTCCCGGAGCCAATCCGGGTGGGCTCAAAAGAGACAAGGCCGCAGCGGTCGTAGCCGCGGCACTGGCACTGGGCTCGCCTGGCGATGGCGCACCACCGGTGTGAGTTCTGAAATGCTGGACGAATTCATCTGGATTGGCGAATCTCTTGCCGCAGTAGGCCGCGTCGCTGGAGATCCAGTTGCAGATGTAGGGCATTTGCGAAGCCGTAGCCAGAGCCACCAGTTGCGCGTGATAAGCGGCGTATGGGCCCGATGCAGCTGCGGCAGCGCTCGCCGCGGCGCTCATTTGTTGTGGTTTGTGATCGCACTGCGCGCATCCAGCTGGACAACTTGTTCCGTTGCTTCCGGTGGCTTGACTGGTCGGTGGAGCTTTGGTACCGTTGGCAGGGTTAGGCGCTGGAGTCGCGCCACCCATCATGTGACTGCTCAATTGGCAACCTGTGCAATAAGGATCTCGGCAAACCGGTACCAGCGTCTCGCCACCCGTTGGAGTCTTCATTCGTGCGTAACTCAGATACGGATGGTGACCCAAACTCCCTTTCATGGCTGCCGCAGCAGCCGCGGCGTGATGCTGCGACATGATGGAACTGGCAGTGACCGGATCCAAGTGCGACAGCTGAGGTGGAAACGCCAAGCCATGGTAACTGGCTGGAGTGGTGGTGGTTGTCGCACCACCCGCCGAAGTCGAGGCGATCAGATTCATTGGTCTGAAAGAACCGAGCGGATCGACGTGGGCCAGACTGAAGGCCGGTTTGACCTGAAGAGATGGACTACTGGCGGACGTAATGATGGCGTCGTGTCCGGATTGTTGCCTGGTGTTGGGCGATTCTCTGGTTGTCGTTTCATTACTGGGAGTCGTGCTCTTTCGGCTCTGTGGCGTAGTTGCTCTGCCACCGCTCGACGAGGCACTCTGATTACTCGAGCAACGTTTCCCATTGCCACTGTTTCCCGGTGTTCTCGATCGAGAATTGCTTCCCGAATTCGAATGTGCCGAGGGTATGCGTGGTTGCTCCGGACTGGCTGACTTTTCCTTCATGACGCACGATTCGTAGGGTTTAAAGCTGCTGTTCATTTTTGAACCTTCTCCGGGCATCATCGAAGACAACCCCGTGGTTGTATTGTTGTTGTTGTGACTCGAGGGTGATGATTTTTCCCGATTCGACGAGTCTGTGGAAGATTTGTTGGATTTGCTTGGCTTGTCATGTGACCCCAAAGACTTGCTCGTCGGTGGATCAACACCTATTTGGCTACAAGTTTGCGCCAGCAGCGCTAGTGGACTCTTCTTCGAATCCAACTGAAACAGAAAAAAAAACAAGTTCGTTCAAGTGACGTTGCAACAAAAAAACTTCAATCAAAGCTTATAATATCTAAAGATCTAAATGATATAAATGGAAGAAGCGGCACATGGGACTCTGCTACGGGCGTGAAGTTAAGAAAAAACGGGCTGGACACGGAGACGACGACGATGCACGCACGCACGCGCTAGTCGCATAAATCACCGGCGGCAGCGTGTCCAGGAGGATCGCTTCGGGCTATAACACATCGCATGCGGCATGGTATGGCACGGCATGACATGGAAGCGCGTAAGCGGAAAAGTTTCTCGCGTCACAGCTCGTCGAGTCACATCCGCGCGCGTGCTATATGTGCCGCCGCGATATATAACGCAAACTTAATCGTCGTCAGTTGGACATCTCGAGCTCTGGAGCAACAGCAGACACGTCGAGTGTCTCTGCCGCGGAAAAGTAACATGATGGCAACTTGAGGGCCGAGGTGGCAGCAGAAAGCTGCGAGTGTAATGGTCCAATAGACGAGCGAGCGGGGGTGGCCGGTTATGGAATACCAAGTATCAAAAAGTCGCGCATAACATCGGATTTTATAATATAAAAAAATAGGTGTGTGCTCGAAACATTATTCTTAGTTTATAAACGTCAGTTTTTGAAATATGTATTAGCCCTTGCCGCGTGGACGCAATACTGCATTATGCACCGCTCCCGGAGCTCGCGATAGTTTTTGTACGTGCTTGTATACTGCAGCGCGTAGCACTCCTGCAGTAGTTTCGCGTCGTACTCGCATTTGAATAACAAACTTCTAATATATTTATAGTGGCTTGGGTTTAAAGAAAAAAATGCGCATGTTGTGCTTGTGCGAGTTTTGAATGGTTTTAGCACTCATCTTTGTTGAACGTTTGTACATAATGCATGATGCGCGTGCGCGCCTTTGTCCGCACATCCAAGGTGCATAAACATCGAGAAAACGTTTACCCAATCGGCAAACCGAGACAATCCCATAATAATAAACTAAAGCAAGTAAAGCATGAAGAGAGAGAGAGAGAAAGATAGATAGAGAGGGAGTGCATATATGTAGTTGTGTTTCGCGCGTATACGTTACGCCATCGCCGGCATACACTGCAGCGGCATAGCAGAATGACGTTACATGTGTATGTGTGTATGTGCGAGTGCGCGCAAGCCAAGCTACACAAATGTGTTTATACAGATGTTGCTTTGCGAGGCACACGGGCTTTACTTGCACGAGCGAAGCGAGGAATGGAAGTGTCGAGTACCGGCTTCGCTCGTCGCCTCCGATAGAGTAGCCTACATGCCGCATATACACACGTACATACGCGTTATTCGTTCTATGCCGTACACCTCTCGTATATACGCGATGTATATAATACATTCACATTCGCACGCATACATTTACGTTGTACAGGCAGAGACACGCGAGTGTATATACGTGCATATGATGCATACATACATACTCGGGGCGCTCGAGCGAGCGAGTTAGCAGATCGGGCCAATCCTAATGAATTAATGTCACTACGGCTTGGCACGTACGAGTGTCAAAGTAGTCCAGATAATTTAAGCTCTTGCTGGCGATCGATCAAGAACTCCGGGGTAACAACGCGAGCTCGTTCATAATATATCTATATTACGTCGACCCCCCTCTTCCTCCTGACGTGCTCCTGCATTGCGAGCCCAGTGCAATTGCGTATCGTGCGAGTTATATATTAAGATCACGAGTTATGTATTCCGAAAGATTTTATATGCCGCAACGAGAGAGCCGGTAATTGCTTATCCAATGTGTCTGTATCATATGTATGCATACGTGTGAGAGAGTTTACAACGATCAGGCCAAGCGCGCAACGATCATCATTGAGTGTATACACTGAGAAAAAAAATTCATTGATTCAATGAAACGTTTAATTGAATACAATCTATGAAATAATTTCATTGAAATAATCTTTTTTTATTTCATTCAGCAAAATATTTAATTGTTTTCATGAAACTTTGGTAAAAACAATTAAATATTTTGTTGAATGAATGAATTATTTCATAGATTGTATTCAATTAAACGTTTCATTGAATCAATGAATTTTTTTTCTCAGTGTATGTATGCGACGGCGGCGACGACGACGACGACGACAACGTCACACTGCGTCGATGTGAACGATGCTCGTCGTTGCAGAAAATTACGGCCACTGATAAGTTTACGAGATATATGTTATGCATACGTTGTGTGCGCGTGTGTGTGTTTTGTGCTGTTAGTGTCAAGGCAACGTTTATATTATTCAATTGTCACTTTGATGCATGTCGACGTTGAGATTGCCACCTAACGACTGTTTATCTTTTTCAAACTATTACCAAGAGCTTGATATCTTCGTAATTGCAGTCGAGTTTACAACCTGCTTCGAGATTGCGAGCGCGCAACAATTTTTTTCACATCGTGGTAATTTTCGACTGGTAATCTGTTCTTTTATACTCGCAGGTCAGCACTGCTCGTGACGCATTAGTTTTAATATTCTTACGTTGAGTTGAATACAAAATTGAATCGATTGGGCACTCGCGAATTGCAATAATTGGATTTAAACATTTACAAAGCGTGCGTTTGTAAGACGTTTATTGACCATTAACATTTGTTTGCCACGAAGCAGTATCGATTTTAATGCTCGACTCACACGCGCACCGATAAAAATACGCAACGGTAGAAAATAACAAAGCGTGAATTTGTTCGAGAATTCGATTTACTTCGCGGTACTATCGTGCAAGTAGCGGAACGCATAGTCGAGAGCAAAAGTCGAGCTCGAGAAGCCGTGAAAATTTAGTGCTAATTATATCTCCCTCAAGCCGGACAAAACGGTTTTAACGGGCGCGGGCAGAGAAATGAATTCGCTTTATCTGCACTGTATAGCGTGTTCCTTGCGTGCAATATAATACGCAGCCAATGGGCTACCAGCCTACGCGGATTCTTATCTCACTCGAAACACAGTCCCGAATAATTACATTCGACTTTTTTGCTATTCATAACCCGTATTATAGTAGTGCAATGAAGTCTGCCGAGCGATGAAATTTAACTCGATTACGGGATTACTGCGGATTTCACGCGTGGGTGGATTTAAATTCATTTCTACGGATCGGGCGTTTATTCGCTTTTATATAGATGTATATATGCGCACTTAAATAAAATCGGAAATTTCGGAATATAATCTTGACTTTGCGCTTCCTCGTGTATATGCGTGTGTCAGCTTTTATTGATTAAATTCTTACCCAGCTATATGCTAGCTATATAGGAGTCAAAGCGACGTTTTAGAGGCGAATTTATCATACTGATGGATAGGTATATACCACTCAAAGCTCGAGTCGAGTTAATATAGCTCATCGATTGCGTTTTTTTTTTTTTTTTTGAATGAAAGAAAGAGACGCCTTGTGTATACCGGTTTTCATGTTTACGACTTGGGTATTTATTTTATGTGTCTTGTCGAACTGCTACCGGAATAAAATTGTAATTTATTTCGCGAGTTTCGAAATTTATTATAAATGCTTTATAGGCTTTGAAAAAACCTGTTACGTTTCGCCACGTTTAATTTTAGCACTTACGATATAGCCATTAATTGTGAAAAGTATAAAAATTGAGCCCCCGAGTAGAAAATTTATGTCTCGTATCGAGGCGCAATTGGACGAGCGAGAACGACATCGAAATCGAAAGGAACTGTAATCATTAATCAACGGCTGAGATTCTTGCGCATATTATCACAGCTAAACGTTTACGTCTAAATTTCAATAAAACTGCCTCGAAAGAGAAAGAGAAGGATAGACAAACGGCCGAGAAGTACAAACGTTATTTTTGCATACTCGGCAATTTTAGCTTATGTAAATAACGCTCGAAAAATAGTTCGCGTAAAAACGAGTGCCATTAAGTCGACAGCAACGATTTATCACTCTTTCTTACACAAAAATGCAAAAAATTTACGATAGCGATATACACATGCTTGTGCGCGTGTATTTGAGTAAGTGTAACATATACTTATTTATTGGATGAAAAATGTTTTTTTTCCGAAATTACCATCAAGACATTTGCGTGATATACATTTAATAATTATTCAAATAAATTGTCGAGGAGGCAGTCGGTGAATGATAAGTCGATCGATTTACGAGGAGCCAGTACAGAGAAAAATAGATTCAATAAAAAAGTAAAAACTCAATGTTATCAAATATCAAGCGGCAAAAAGCTTCAACATTGTTACATATATTTGCGAAGCTGTACTCTCATACATATCGCGTAGACACATGCGTGCACCGAGTGAGAGACTAACGATTCGAAAGATTTATTTCTTACACGTGACCGTGTAAGATAGATGCGAATATATTTATCTTTGCCGAGCTGCTATTGCCTGTGCGCGAATATATACATACAACATCGCCGTCGTTTGTCTTCCGCTCTTTGACTGCATAATTTGAATCTTCATAATTTATTGTGTTGAAATCGTCGTGTTTTTAATCTTTAAATAAACGCTCCTCCCGTCGGGCTTTTAACTATCGACGATGGAAAAATTGAAATAACAAAGGATAATTTATTTGTACGCTCGTTTGATGCTCGCTCGAGAAACGCAATATTATACCCTCGTCGTTTCACTGCTGCTGAGTCAAAAACTCATGAATATGAGTTAGTAGAATTGGCTTTTGTAATTATCTACACTTAACAATAATGAGCGTTTGTTAGACTCGTGCTGAAAGCTCGAGTCGCGCGTAGCAGCAGATACGCGCGGTTATATATACCAAAAGTATCGTAAATTCGTTTAAAAAGCTCGTTGCCAGAGACTCGAATTTCCGCGCGTTTAACGAGCGAGACGCCAACAAATTGGATTAATTAAGCGCTTATAAAGAGTGCAAAATAGACTCGGCGATCGCTGCTGGTCGCGGCAGCGGCCCCGAAAAGATTCGTAAACGCTTGTGAAATACTTACACGAATGAAATAAATTGCGCCGTGCCGCGCTGGGCGGCTTTGGCCCGATCGCAAACGGAAACAATTCATTGTTTATCGCAATTAATCAAGCTCCAATGGAGCGCGAGCTTGCGGCGCGAGCTATACACACGAGGGCTTGTGTGCGGCGGCCGCCTTAATCGAAAATCGAGAGCGCCTTTGGCTAGTGTGTGTGTGTATACGAAAACTCATTACAACGTGTATATAGATGTAGCCGCGCTCGAGAGTGTGAGTTATTCCTTCCAGCTGCGCGCGCTCGCGTCTATATATCGTGACTATAAATCTTACCAAGCCCGAACGAAATATTATTTACAGAAAGTTGAGTTTCCAGCAATAAATCCAAGCTTATCGCCGTGCCAAACACTAACGTAATATAAAACTTGCACTCGCGCGTGCGTATATATACACGCGTACGGATCGACGGACGGGTACCGCGTTTATGTGTGTGTGTGTGTGCGCGTATTCGTGTATGTAGCTCGACGCGTAACATTAAAATCGATGAAAAAACTTTTACGTCTCTATGAAATGATATACCTTAGATTATCTCCCGATACCCTGACGCGCCAGTCACAGGATGAATAAGCACGCGCTGCATCACTTGGCGTTATATATCTAGGCGCGATGCGCATACACAATAAATATATCACGCGCGCATTTGATCTATATAAAAGTGATGTACGATGTACGAAATGTTCGTCGCGAAACTTTCGCGAAAGTTTTTTTGTTCTTTTTTGCTCGTACTACTACTCTTCGCGAGTACTTGCAGCACACACATCACGCGGCAGCAACATATTGACTATTACATAGACGCTCGAGAGGCGCACTGTCATTCATAAATTGCAGTTGCATCAAAGTTACGCGATCTACGTGCGATAATTATGTATTGCCCCTCGAGTGGGGGCCACTCACGTATTATACATCATCTTTATCGTCGACTGAATCAGCCTCTTTGACTCGGCTGCGATGCAATACGCATACGTCTACCATACAACATAGGTGCACACAATTTGCGCGAATTCATTTTTCTCTCTAGAATCTAAGAACGTCGGCTCAAATGGCCGCGTCATTGTTTGCGCCGGTGATTTATGTTACGATCGAAGCGAAGCGTATATTAGCAAGAGAGTCTTACTATTGTTAATCGCAAAAATAGATCCGCTTCCGCGCGTCAGCCCATGTGTCAGTGACTAAGTGTGTGTGTGTGTGTGTGTNTGTGTGTGTGTGTGTGTGTGTGTGTGTGTGTGTGTGTGTGTGTGTGTGTGTGTGTGTGTGTGTGTGTGTGCAACTGTATGTATACGATTACTCGTTGCTCCGAATTCAGTCTAGTCTCGTTTGCGATGTGCCATTGTCAGAGACAACTGGACGGAAACGCGACAGTCGTGTACTTGTGCTGCCAAGACACAACTGCTACACATGTATACCTCGCTCACATCGAGGCACAAGAAGCATTGCGCGCTCCTGTCGAATGCAAATTCGCAAGCCGTTGAAAGCGATGTTTTTCCAAAGTAGTTTTTCTCGCTCGTGAGAAAGCACGTTTAGTCGTTATTCGGCCACTCTCGCGCATACACAAGTTTATGTATATACCGTATGCACGCGTGCTCGTACTTATGAGCGCATGTGTTTGTGTGTGTGTGTGTGTGTGTGTGTGTGTGTGTGTGTGTGTGTGTGCATACGTACTACGCGCATCTCCCCAACTGTGTATTTGCGATAATTGCACGAGCAGCGCACTTATTTCATTCGAATGATATAATTGTTTAACAACGTAATTGCCTCGAGTCGAGCGCTAGTGCATGGCTAAACGCAAAAACCTCTCGCTCAACGCGGTGAAAATGCGAGTAATTTGAAAAATATTTCGCGAGCCAAGGAGCGAGGAGAATATAAAAAAAAAGAAGGAAAAGAAACTGAACGTATAACTTCGCGGCTCTTTGCACTGATGAACAGTTGTTAACTTTAACGATCTCATTACGCAACAATTCGATGCTTTTTCTCCTTGCATTCATTCTTTCGCATTATTGCTCCCCTTTCATTTATTTATGTTTAATTTTCTTCTCGAGAAACTATATACGAATCTACGAATGATGCGCGGCGCTTTATTACGCTTCTGATGTGTACTATAAAAGCCACGGCACGACATTTACAATTTCTTCCAAACGCTCGATAAAATGTCCTAAAAAGTATAGTAGGCATGGCACAGTCAGCGGCGCGGCAGAAGTAACAACGCATACATATATGCTGGGCGCGCTAAAAGTGATGCATCACACGCACGCATATGTAAAGGCAGGCCTCCGCGAAGTCATAAACAACTTTCGAGAAGTCAGCAGCGCGCACGGCGAAAGAGGCGCGCCGTGTATAATGCGCGTTTGTATCCGTGCGTGAGTAGGATGTATTATATGCGCGAACGAAGCATAGAGGAGAGAGAGAGGCATAAAGTCGAGCTCCAATTTCGGCCGTCGGGGCGCAATTTATCACACGGACGGCGGCGCATATATGGCATATACATACAGCAGGGCCGATAACGAATGGGCCGCGCGACTCGCAGGTCATAAATATATCGCTCGTATATAATATACATGTGTATAGAGTCGGTTTTATGTATGGGGCACATGTATAAGCTTTTCGCGATCTGTGCCCGGCACACAACATACGTATAGCCACGGCACAACATCTCATCCCGCGAGAGATGCTGATGCTGCACTCGCAAAGAATTATACGAATCCTCACCGTAGTGTGCAGAGGCGTCAGGTACTCCGGACGGAGGTACTGGTTCGCGCTAGACGTCAGCATCGCACTGACAGCTTGCTGGTGCTGCTGCTCTCGTAATTGCTGTTCGCCTGCCACAATTGTCGACTGATTTGTCGATATCGTATCGACAACAAAAACTGCACGCTATTTTATACTTATTTTCTTTTATTTTTTATTTCTCGTCGACGAGATCCTGCTTCTCTAGCACGGGATCTCGGGACTCAACTGCACATAACGATCGACCAGCACACACGGTACGATCGGATTTTCAACACCTCACTACTTTTTTAAAATTGATTGAAGATTACACCCCTCGTACACGGGGAAGATATTCAAAACGATGCAGGTAACGGCACCACAATGTGTAGCTCTACCTGGTTATCACACCAATCTTGCGGATCCATCAAACGACTCGTTTTAAAGCACCACAACAATAATCAACACAACTGAGGGAGGGATCAAAAACGTCAACAATCGATATGTGGCGAGCGATGTTAAACGGACGGACTCCGAAGCGATACTGGCGGCCTCGTTCGCGCGAACTTGTGCACGACTCGGCGCGAGCAATTGTCGTCTCTCGCTTGTGTGTGTGCCGAGCTTGTTCCACTTCCCCTCGAGCTCGAGCTGCTGCTGCTGTTTCTCGGCACACGAGTCCATGCGCGCCAGCGAGCGAGCGATAGACCAGGACAGAGAGGGTCTCCCACCCCCTGCGGATGAAGCAGCAGTAGCGGCGGCTTCGGCGGCTAGCCTTCTCTCTCTGCCTGCTCGACGCTGGCGCCCTGGTGTGGTCCAACTCGATAACTTGCCACTTTCCATTCGTACACTAGCAGCACTGCGAGCGTCATATACCGGAGCTTGTATACACATTCGCGTCGTATATATACAAACGATGCACATATAAAACTCCTCGAGCCCATCTATCGAGCGTCTGTGTACAGCGACGACAACGACTACTGTCTGCCAGCATAGATTGAGTCAAGCCAGAGTTTATGGCCTAAGCTTTACAGTCAGCTGGAAATTATTTTATTCGACCGCAAATATAGAGCTTGGAACTCGATCGCTTGATGTGCATCCTGGCAGTTGCGACGTCTTACTTTTCCACAAAGTTCCATATTTTTTATAATCATTTTTCGAAGCTTCAATATTGATATTATAATAAAAATACCAATAAAACCTCTCGTGATTGAATATTTGGTTTTGGATACATTGTATACGATAGAGAAATGTAAATTGAACTGTTTACCCCACCTAACAATGGAGTCAGACTTCTTTGCATTTCAGATAAAAAGTATCAGATTGCAATATCCATCTAATATACACGCTGCGCTATTATGCGAGGCTAGGCCAAGTCAGATACGTCAAAATTTAAATATCGCTCATGAATCGAGCTGTCAGCGAGAAGACTGGCAACGATGCAACAATAGACCAAATAATCATAAATGCACACATATGACGTAGATAAATTGAGCTTAATTGAAAATTCCATTACAGCGCGCAGTGTGCAGCAGCAAGGTTGGCCGAGCCGCGAGCGCAGTAATTTCTCTAAATTGATAAGCATGCGGGCTGCTCTGCGCGTATACAGCGGCGCGCGCTGATTTTGAAATTCAAGTGGCGCGACCTGCCCACGCTACAGAGTTATATATATCGATCATAATTCACGAACGAAGCGACGATTGTTTCGAGCAGTAACGCGATATTCACGGAACTGTTGCAGCGAGTCGTGACGCATGCATGACCTTATACACAGCTGCATCTGGCTTCGGTATGCATTCGAGTCTTTGGATGCACCAGAGCGTATCGAACCTTTGACGAGTTTTCGTTCTTTCTTTTTTTTTTAGCATAGCAGACAGTAATCTGCATAGGTGCATCCCCATATCCGATATAAATATATCCTTGGTCGTATAATATGCACATGCCAACTCGGTGACAGCTAGTCTCTTCATTAGGCGGCCGTATACACGCTTGCACACCCTCGCTTACATTATACACGACGCTCGAGAGCTAATGCATATGTATCATTTGACGTTTAGCACAGCCCAAATACCGCCCAGACTATGTGCCGTGCCTAGAAGCTAATGCCAATATTATGCTGCTCCAATTATATCGAGTAATTTCGAGGCAGATAAACGAGACGAACGGAGGATTCAGTTTCTGTATAATTGCGCGTATCTCCGATACGCAAATGTATGCGTTATATAGTACGAGCTCAAAAACTAGAATAATCAGATGCGGAAAAAATCGACGCTTCGGTAAGATAAATGATTTACGAGCAAGTAAAATGAGTAAAGGTCGCGATTTCTATTATCCTTGAGCGAATTTTTTTGCTTTGTTAATCAAATTGACTATCGAAACGACTTCATAGGCTACTCATTGCATATAACTTAAAAAATATATGCTATAATAACCTTGACAGTATTATAAAAATCAAATCTCAAGGAGTCGGTGAAAAAAATTTTTTTGTCTCATTTAAATCACGTATTGCATTAATAATTTGAATTATTTGCGAAAAGCATTCGTTGTAGCTCTCACAAGAAATTGCAAGGATGATTAATGTGTCCTAAATATTTGAAAGGGCCTAACGTCATACACCCAAGGGTTTCCGGTTTATTCCTTGAAAAACGTAATCACTCTTTACGACTTTAATTTGGAGTGCATTCACGGGAATTTTTCGTTCTCCCGTCTTTGAAGTGACCGTAGGTAAACAGAAAAAAAAGGCACGACTCGCATCTCAGTACTCGCACATTCGAGGCTCACTGCGCCTGCCGCGAAATATCATATTTCGCACGAGGGCGTGTATGCGAAAAATACGTCTATATTATCATATTACCGCAATTTCAGTGTTTGCAAAGATATGAAAAATCCACGAGGAATTTTTCGTGCTAGTTGACCGAAATGCATATTATGAAAAGTACTTTTATATCATTAAAATTTGAAATGTGCTCAAAGTGCCGCAGTTGTAAAAAGAAATAAAAAATAACTGATCAATCGTAAGCGTAGACAAATTGGATATCATTGTGATTAGTTACAGATAGTTTCCAGTGTAATAACATATTACATCCATTTATGTTTGATTTATTCATCGATCGAGTTTCGAAATAGACAAAACAGACCAGACAAACAGATCAGTTTAATAATTTTTATTATATCCTCAAATCAAACATTGAAAAGTCCACGAGTTTGCTTTAGATCTATTGAAGTTGTCACCGACTGATAGAAAAAATAAAAAGCACATGTAATTTAAAGCGATACAGTGTTAAAAACTTATATCTACACCTAACACAGATTGAATTAATACGAGGGTGATAATAAAACTGGCAAATACAGGTAGCAAAGATGTAAAAGAAAAGTGTACATCGAAGAGATACATAAAACTCATACAGTATTGTGTGACTTCTTATGTATACCATACAAATAACAAGTACAAGCATATCGACGCAACACTCGTAAATTTACAAACGTGAATTTGAATTTCAATCGAATGAAATAAAGATGTGCGAACTGGTACTTCCGAATACGTACAACATTATGTACATGGTGTTTGTATCACTAGAAGAAACATGATAACGATATGTCAACTATCTGGATCTTACAGTTGAAATTTATCACGCGCATTGATAAATGTACGCGTGTGAAGAACGAAAACTATACATGCTCTTTGGGAAAATCAAAGCTTGTATATAAATCAAGAAAATACCTATACCGTACAAAGTTGACAATTGTGACGTTCTAGCTCGCGTACATTTATCGGTCGTCTACCTAATCGGCTCACTTTCGCTATTTGTAATGAGATTGTTGCAACGAGCTTCAGCCATGTATTATTAAGTGCTCGCAGAAAGAAAAAGAGAAAAATGCGCGTCAGCTTAGTCATACGACAAAGTTATAACAGCCACAGTGCATATAATCGTCGGGCACTACTCGTGTACACGCGGGCACCACACATAAAATAATCTTGACAGCGCAGAACTTTGCTGTGGTAAGCCACTCACTCTCTCTCTCTCTCTCTCTCTCTCTCTCTCTCTCATGCAAGTATATTATACGTTCGCAGGAATGATCGATTGAACGGCAGCGTGTGAAATCGATTGACAAAGATAGAACATTAAATCGCCATCACCGCCAGCCCTGCTGTATAAAATAAGTGTGCCGTGCGTATAATCGCGCGCGAATGCGACGTTAACGCGGCCGCAAGTCCAGCCTGCTGGAATATGAATGTACCGTCTCGCTTTCTGGCCGATTTATTACCAAGACTCACGCGCTCGCTTCTTCAACTGTTGCCGTGCAGTTGCATAGAGAAAGACACGCCCATCTAATTCACGCTGTTGTTGCTACCTTTGCAGTGCACTTAGTGTGCACGATATAAGACGTTCAATTCTGCAACAGCTCAACATACAAACACAGCGAAGTAGGGGCTCTGCCTATGCTAACCCGCATATTATTGTTATTATTGCCGCTTACTCTAACACAGAAGCTACCGTTAGTACAATTTATTTACGTTTTGAGCTGTTGCAGAATTAAAGGAATTAAAGTGTATACGCAAACACATGTCTACATTCGGGGAGGTACTTCGCGGTACTGCTTTGCCATTATTTTAGGTGCGATTTATCGAGCAATGACTTGAGCTTAATTATTTGCTACGGAACTAAAGCGTAAATTAGTAGAAACCACCTTCATTTTTTATACTTTTTTTAGTGTTGCGGTAAAGAAAGAAATACTTTAGTGAAAAAGAAAACTTGTAAATTTTCAACCACAAAAAAAAGAAAGTAAATAATAATTCACTTAAAGAACCAAATGAGCTTTCGCTCAAAGAATTTTTGATCGCATGCATTTAAGCACGCTGACGTGTAAAACAACTCGAGTGTCAATGGGTCGTGAAAATAAAGCATCCATCAACACCACACGCGCCCCAGGCCCGATTGCTCAGAAAAATATATGTAATGCAGAAAGGAGCGAGAAGAAACAATTTTCAGGCGCATAGTCCGATACAATCACCGGCACACGAGGGCAGAACATATCTGTTTTATACACGTATCATCATCATACAAGAAGGCCATAAGTCAACATTAGATCACGGTATACGGCGGTTCAAGCTATTTTCGTTCCTTGTGTACCGTATATTACTTTTCGCCGTGTGCGTGTGAGTGTGTATGTGTGTATGTGGGTGCGTGCTCTATTGTACACATAAACTGCGCCAAGTTAAGGTCTATCAAGGATTAACCGCTGTGCGGTGGATCAACATAGTGGCGCGATACACTGCAGACAATAACATATTTATTAGGCCGAGCCTTGGAACCATTTGCGGGGGACGTAATCTATGCAGCAGCTGTCGCTTAACCCTCGATATACAAGGTAGCGTAGCAGTGGTGTGTGTGTGCGTATAGCATATATTTATCTATAAATGTTCAAGAAATATTTATTGTCTGCGCGCATAAGAGTCTGAGGATTCGCCCAGGCGCAGGGAAAAACAATGTCTACGCGCGTCGGGGTACTATACGTTTGTATATCAAGTCATTCTCCTCCACTGTGTGCCCTGAAACATGCAAAACGTGACGATAATGA